GTCCCCACAAAAAAATCTTGTTTCAAAAACCAAGGTGGTTGGCTTGGCACCTAAGGAATGACCTCCAAGGTTGACCTCTGGCCTACACACACACACACACACACACACACACACACAAAGCAGAACAGGTGAAATGAGGTTTTGGGTGGTGCATGCCTATAATCTCAGCAGTCAGAAGGCAGAGGCAGGCAGATCTCTGTGAGTTCAAGGCCAGCCTGGTCTACAGCACAAGTTCCAGGACAGCCAGGGCTACACAGAGAAACCCTGTCTCAAAAGAACAAAAAAGAAAAAAGGAAGGAAGGAAGAGAAGGAGGGAAGAAGGGAGGGGGAGAGACAGAGGGAAAGCAAGGGAAGAGGAAGAGCAAGCAGATATCTTATAGGCATCACGGAACAGCTGGCTTATCAGCACAGGTCAATCTTGGGAGCCTAGGTCTGTTTAAATTCCAACGTTCACTACGGTATCTTTTTTTTTAAATAAAGATTCATTTTTTAATTTTATGTATATGAGTACATTGTTGCTATCTTCAGGAACACCAGAAGAGGGCATCAGATCCCATTACAGATGGTTGTGAGCCACCATGTGGTTGCTGGGAATTGAACTCAGGACCTCTGGAAGATCAGACAGTACTCTTAGCCTCTGAGCCATCTCTCCAGGCCCATCACTATGATATCTTAAGGAAATGTCTGTACACGGTTAAGATTACAAAGCCACTCAGCTCTAGCTCAGATCCTGGCTTTGACCTTTGCAAGCTGGTGTCATCTTAAGCAAGTGACTCATCTTTCTGGGCCTTAGTTTCTCCACCTATTAAATGGAGATTCTAGCAGGCCTCTCCCCAGGGGGCTGTTTTGAAGCATGAGCTAAGGCACACAGCCACACAAGTTATGTAGGAATCTCTGTAGTTGTCAGCAGCCAGCAGTTGATGCTATGGTTTCACTATGCTTTCTCTGGGACCCCCAAAGGTTCCTGTGTGGCAATTGAATGCCATTGGGTGTTGTTTTAGTTAGGGGTTTACTGCTGTGAAGAGACACTGTGACCATGGCAACTCTTAGGAAGAAAAACAATTCACTGGGGCTGACTTACAATTCAGAGGTTTAGTGTATTAGCATCATGTGGGGGAACATGGTGGCATGCAGGCAGACATGGTGCTGGAGAAGGAACTGAGAGTTCTATGTCTAGCAGGAAGTGACTGAGAACTACTACACCTGGCCTGAGCTTCAGACACCTCAAAGCCCACCGCCTAGTGACAAATTTCTTCCTCCAACAAAGCCACACCTAGTCGAACAGGGCTATATCCCCTCTTTCTGAAACTCAATTTCTTAATCAAGTTACCCAGCTTCAGTAATCTTAGTACAGTGACAGAAACAAACTAATACAGCTAATGCCAGCAGCCATGACAGGGAGTTGAATTTACCCTCTAATGCTCTTCTTCACCATCTAAAATAAACAAACAGTAGGACTGAATAGTTTCTGAAGCCACCTCCATCATTGTACAAAAGTGACTCAGAGATGTAAACTCCTTCTTATTGCCCACAAAACAAAATCTAGGCTCTCAGGAAAATGTCCATCTGACTGGGTCCTTGCCTTCCCCTGAAGGCCCGCCTCCTGCCAATCACTTAACACAGTCTGCTTTCACAATGCTCTGTCTCTGAGACCAGGCCCACAGTCTCACGGGATCAAATCCCACTCTTCATCCAAGCACCCTTCTCTCTAGCAATCCACCCAAGTTCCTTCCCCTGCCTCTCCACTCCGGCAGATGCTCCTGTAACACTTGATTGTTCTAGTTACTTTACTATCACTGTGGTAAAGATCCGTGACCAAGGCAATGTATGAGAGAAAGAGCTTAACTGGGCTTATGGGTCCAGAGGGTGAAGAGTCCACGACGACAGAAAAAAACGCACAGTGGTGGGAACCACCGAGAGCACACATCTCACAAGCAGCAGGCAGAGAGCTAACTTGAAGTGGTACCAGTCTTTGAAACTTCAAAGTCCACCAGTGACATACTTCCTCCACAAGGTAATGCATCCAAACACTTCGTAAAGGGCTACCAACCGGGGACTGAGTCATCAAAGGCCTGAGACCTATGAGGGACAGCTCATTCTAACTGCTGCACCAATACCCCTGCTAACAGACACCACGGCGACTTGTGTGTCTGCCCTTCTGGCTTTGACAAAGAGGGTGGCCCAGGTCACATAGATTTTAGTCTCTTTGAATCTCCAAAGTCTAATGTCATCAAACTTGTGTTACGATATGATATGGTCTTAATATATTTGCCAAAGGTATGTCAAATTACACAGCACTGAGAGACATAATGTGAGAAAAGGTACCCATCGAAACAGAGTTATTTTGTAAATAGATATTTGATTTGTAACTGAGAGTCAGATTTCTCTGCTTTAATGAAGTGATTCGATTATCAGAAATAGACGATTATCAGAAATAAAATGAATACATCCTGCCGTGACCTGAAATTTTACTTTCCTCCCTTTTTTTCTCAGAGGGAGATGAAAGGGGAGAAATTAAAGAAGGGACTATATAAGACAAAGATACATAAGAAAAGAATGATTTGTGGGTAAGTGAAACTAAGGCTGAGACACAGAAGGGTCCCCTCCTGCAAGACCCCTAGCTCCTCTGGCCTCCACCGGCCCATTGCCAACCCCATCGGATCCAGGAGTCCTTTCTCCTAGGGCAGAAACAGCAGGGGTCCTAAAGTTTCAGAATGAGAACCATCCGGTGAGGTCGTGCGTGGGAAATGAAATGCCAGCGCCTAGGCGTCTGTGGTCCTGAGGAGAGCATGGCATCTTGGCTCACTGGGGATTCCTTTGGCTTGCCTCATTAATCAGCTCCCGGGTCATCGGTCCGTCTCGCCTCAGGCTCACAGGTCTGGTTTTTGTATAATACACATTTCCCATCCGTTTTTATTTCATCTGCTTTTTAAAGCAGCTTTTCCATTATTTCTGAACATTTCAGGGTTTTTTTTTTTAAAATGTAAATTACAGACGCCTGTGGATTGACGTAATCCAAAAAGAAGGCGACTGTTTTCCCTCCTTCCAAACAGAGAACTCAGCTTTTGAAACTAACAAACCCCTTAAAGTTCATGAGCCCGTTTCAACCTTTTAAAATGTCTAGTTTCTGAAGAGAAAAGGAAAAATAAGAGGCAATAAGTGCGTGTGAGGCCCGTTCACTGCGGGAAAGAGACGTTTGGGGAGAATGACTCTACCCTTCCCCCTACCAAGGTCCAAGCTCAAAGGTCTCAGTCATGAACCCAAAGGAAGAAGACCCGATCTGGGGCCTTGGAAGTCCCGGTGGGAAGGAGAAACTGAGCGCTCTGGAGGAAGGACTTCAGCGGGAGGGGAGGGTTCCGGAGGAGGTGAGAATACAGGGATGGAAAGGAAATGGGAGGGATTGGGTTCTGACCCCACAGCTGGGAAAATAAGAGGGATAGCAGAGAGTGGGGACCCGCTGGGGACACAGCATCAGCCTCGGCGGCCTTCTTTGTAAGCATGAACTGAATGCGGAGGTAACCGTGGAGCTGGGAGTTCTAGATGGTTGGGAGACCTTAAAGGTGGCCATGAAGGACTCTGGGGGACCGATAGAAGACAGGACCGACCCAATCACTGATGGTTTGAGGTGTCCGCATGGAGCAGGGGTTCCATCAAGTAACTCCTAGGGTGGAGTCAATGTCCCTGTCTTCTCCCCAGAGGGCTCTGGTGGATTTTCTGCTTAGGCGTTGGCTTCATTCTGCCTCCAGCTTTGAAGCAAACCCCCAGCACAGAGCTACATGGAACTACGGAGTGGAGTCTGCTCAGTGAGTAAGTGGATGGGTGAATGAGCTAATATGTGAACGGACACATGAGTGACTGGAGATCACTCCTAAACCTCTGTGGTCCTTCGGGAAGTAAGGTACCTTGTCTCCTCGAATGCCAAGGGCGCGTAACACCCAGTAATCAGAGCTGCCTGTCATGCAGCTGCGTGGGTACACGGGATCCAGGTGACATCTTTGCTTCCAAAATGGCAGGTCCTCAGGAAGCAGATCTTTCTAATAATAGTTGAGAAGTCTTTCTCTTGCTTTTTGTCTCTTAGTTAATTGAGATTTGAGGATGACAGAAAACTAAAGTGATCCCCTCCCCCAAATTGTCATGCCTTGTCCTCATAGCTCATTGAGAAGGCTTTGAAATTTAGCAATTTTAGCCCTTCCTTGTCACATCATGCCCAAGGATAGTGCTAGGGACCTCTGGGGGCAGTAACTTCCTGTCCCTGGGAGGTATACTTCCTTCTCAGTGGAAAGGTAGGAGTCAAAGATCAAGATCCTGAGGGCAAAAAGGACAACCATGAATCATGCCTCCTTGGCTAAAGCTAAGAAAATATGGGATCTGTTGCCACCCCATGTGTCCCCTGCCATTTGAACTATCTGTGCCTGCTCCACAATGGAATTCTACTCTGGGACACAGTCAAGTCAAACATCTTTGGGCTCGAAGTAAAACCATTAAAAAAAAAATCATGACAGCGTATCAATTCTACTTACCTCCTATTTAGATTTAAAAAATGCCTCAGAGGGAAGTATCTCAAATAGAGAAAGAATTCAGAGAATATTTCCCACATCACTGGTTTGTTCTGAGAGACAGGAAGCCCAGGGTATACACCCTACAGCCCTCACGGGCCAAAAAAAAAAAAAAAAAAAAGTCTAAACCAGAGTTTAGACTTTGCTGCTGGAGTGGGTTGTAGCTCTCAGTGGGCAGGAAAAGTCGCACATCTGTACCGTGGCTCTGTCCTGGAGCTGGCTGGTGTAACTCAACAAGTATGTCAGGTCCTCCTCTGCTTTCTGTCTGCCTTTTGTTTTGATGGCCAAGATTTATCCAGCTTCTTTTCTGGTTAAAACCTTTATGGTGGCTACGATTGTTAAGTTCTGTGCTCTCACATTTGTGCAGATTAAAACCCATATTTCACTACTGAACAGATGTTGTGCCTGCTGTAAATGTAAAAACAACAGTAATAATAAGAAAAATCACAATAACATCCTTTTCTTTACTTCTTTTTAAAATTGTCAGGGCCACTGGGTGGTGGCGGTGGTGGTAGCGGCAGTGGCAATGGTGATGGCACCCGTGGTGGCAAACCTTTAATCCCAGTTGTGAGGCAGAGTCAAGAGAATCTCTGTGAGTTGGAAGCCAGCCTGGTCTGCAGAACAAGTTCCAGGACAACCAGTACTGTTACACAATGAAACCCTGTCTGGGGGTGGGGTGGGGTGGATGGGGTGGACAAATTGCCAAGGTCTAAAACCTGATTACCCAACTCACTCAGAAACTACTAAGAGAAAAGACATTGAGATTTTTCTTCACCAATGCTATATGCCTTTGTGCCTCTGTGAAATCTGAATCTGGAAAAGTCAGCACCAAGATGCCCATGCTGAACGTCAAATTTCGAATTACTTTAATCAGTCATGTTCCAACTATGGCAACAAGAGGGTCTTCCAGGTCTTTTTTTCCGGCAAGCAAACTGGTGTATAAAACTAACAAAGCCATCTTAACTTCCAAGGAGATCTGAGAAGAAAGTGAGTCAGCCTCCTGGAGATAGCGACTTCTTGCTCTGACCGACACGTCATCTCAACTGTACAGGAACGTCTTTCCCATGGAAGTGCAAGCAGGGCATTTGCTGCTGAATTAAAAACAAGAGAACTGTAATAAACATTAGGTAACAACCCCACACACACTTGGATTTATTGACTAGTTAAATTTTTAATGGTTAAAGTTAAAAGACCTTTTATTTCAATGGCCTGGTGATTTGCACAGCTGGAATGTTGCCTTTTAATATATTCACATTGCAACAGAAAAGCCAAAGTGACCAGGATGTTGACTTTCTTGTTTGCTCAGCCCCAAACTGATAGGAAGCTGATACCAGATCCTTCCTAGAATCTGGGCTTCCCTCCTCACCCCAAGCTAAGTGCAGAGAGGGAAGAGGAAGCACACTGCTGGGGGGGGGGGGGGGCTAACTCAGGCCTCCACCCACTTCCTGCAAGGATGCTGAGACATTAAATCGTGCTTAGGTGGCTGTCTCTTCAGGGGTCACCCTGTCTGGATCCTTCCTGCCTGGGTGAGTGGTCTAGTCTGGAAAGGTGGTTTACAGCACCACTGCCCATGGGACTGCGTGTGATTAGCTGACCATGTGGTGTGAGGAGAATAAGAGACATTAACAGAAGAACAGGATGTGCTGGACAGTTTCATATCAACTTGACACAAACTAGAGTCATCTGAGAGGAGGAGGGGACCTCAATTAAGAAAATGCCTCCATAAGATCAGGCTTTTAAATTAGTGACTGATGGGAGAGGCCCAGGCTATCGTGGGTAGTGCCACTCCTGGGTTGGTGGTCCTGGGTTTTCTAAGAAAGTAGGGTTAACAAGTCATGGGAGGCAAGCCAGTAAGCAGCACCCCTCCATGGCCTCCGCATCAGCTCCCACCCCCAGGCTCCTGTCCTGTTTGAGTTCCTGTCCTGACTTCCTTCAGTGATAGACTACAGAAATGCAAGCTAAATAAACCCTTTCCTCCCTAAGGTGCTTTGGGTCACGGTGTTTCATCACAACAATGTGACCCTGACTAAGACGTGGGTTTGAGAAAAGACTTGGAAATGGTGGAAATGATAAAAGGCGTTGCTGGGATGCTCAACCCCACGCTCACTCTTCGACACATTGCTTCAAGTTGCTTTACATGGACTTGATTTTTTGGTACTATTTTCCTTTTTTTTTTTTTTTTGAGATAAGGAAACTGAAGTGGGCTGGAGAGAAGATGGCTCAAAGGTTAAGAGCACTTGTTGCTGTTCCAGAGGACCTAGGTTCAATTCCTTGAACCCACAGATAGGTCACAACCATCTATAATCTCAGTTCCAACAGACATCATGTACATGGTAATATCATGCATGCAGGCCAATAACTCACATACACAAAGTAAAATAAATCATCTTTTTTAAAATGGGGGAGACTGAAGTGCAGTGCACAAAAATAAGCAGTTTGATAAGTTTTGAAAGAGAGGGACCCAGACAAAGTGACTGGACAGCCTACAGTCTCACTGAGGGCTTCCAGGGGATATGGTGGGCATGCTAGAGATCACTGAGTCACTGGCAAAGTCAAACCACTCAGTTTGTCACTTTTAGGAAATCATGCTGTCCGCAAATGCAGGTACTGCTTCATGCAGTCCTTCTCTGTGGACCTGAACACACAAACCACACCCTGACAAAGGCAGTTACTCATTCCACAGGCACACAGCTTCAGAAACACACCACGGAATCAACTTTCACACAGATTCACTGAGACACACATCTTCTAGTACCCTACACACTCACATGAGCACATACACACTCAAACACAGACAGAGGCACATCAAATGCAGTTACCTCTCCACGATCCTTTGGAACTTACCCATGCTCTTGTTCCTCAGAGGTTGACCAATGGCCCTGTCTGTCTGCTGTGTGTCCTGTTGACAATGGTCCATGTGGTCATGGTAAAAATAATGTCAAGGCACCAAGACAAAGAAGAGATAAACAGGACCGTTCACCCATCACTTCCAGCCGCCTGTCCTAAGAAGCCTGGGTTCTCATCCTTCTCAGGATGAAGGGATGACCAACTCAGCCTCTGTTACTGACCTTTAACAGTTCAAGGTTAAAGGTCAAATCTTGGTCTTTGGTTACCAATGGTTATCTCAGCTTGCAGGATGAAGGCTGGAGACCCACAGGGGCCTGAGTTGTTCTTATGAAGGAAACTTGATTGCTACGTGGAGAGAGAGATGTGATGAAACATACTAGGCTTGAGGTGAGTTTTATAACTCTCCAGCACTAATATTTCTCATATGGAAGCTCGAGGACATTCACAAGGTTTTCAATTTCAAGGCCATTTTGCTTTTTTATGGAGTTTGATGTTCTCTGCACTAATGCAGGTTTAATAATTGACAGAGAGCCAAGCTGTCCACTGTGGCACCTGGAGGTCTGTTGTTCCGCCGAACAGCCAGGCCACTCAGTTCATGTAACCCACAAAGCCACAGTCTCTCCCCTGGCATTGGAGACCTTGCCAACTGCAGGAAGTTGCGAAATAAAAGAAATTTTTCAAATAAAAAGATGTCAATTTAACAGCCAGGGACCTGGAAACAGATGTTTCTCCCCTAAACCAAGAGCTGCCCACCCGCCCACCCATCCGTCCTCCTGGTTTTCAAAGTCAGTTCTTGTCAGGTGCCCTGGTTAAGAGGGAGAATTAATGAGCTGTGCTCCATTTTATGGCTGTGGTCTGATGTGGGAGCTGCACTCGGAGGGCTTCACGGACAGGCCAGCCCGGCCCCCAGCCCTTCCTCCACCAGCTCAACCCTGATCAAAGCAGAGAGCAGCTCGGCTTTTATAGCAAAATGATTAAAACCATGTGGCGCTTGTTTCCCCACACGTGACCTCCCGACACAGGGCATGGGGGACAGAGGAAAGGTGAGCCTAGGGGTCTGTAGGCTCAGGGAGGGGCAGGACACAAGAGGCAGAGACGATAGAAATACACGCACACGCACGCGCATACACACTGCTTTACATGGACTAACAGGGACATATACACCCACACAAATGAATGCTGTTTCCCTGAGAGTTGAAACAGCCCCTGCATGCAGCCAGAGGGCCTAATTAGTCAGGATGGCTCGGCCCACATCACTATATGGATAAATAAATGATTCCTAGTTACTCGATCATGCGTAGTCCTTGTAGAAAGCACAGCTGGATTGTGCTCCCAAAATGAAGCCCACTGACTCTGCTGTGTGAGTGACGAATTCCTCAGTCACCTCTGGTCCTGGGCAACGTCACTGCACTTGAAAATGACAACTCCTACATAGACTGACTGGATCCATCTAATGTTTGATTCTCCTGTATCCATGTGCCATCTCCTCCCCCTTGGGCCAGGACTGGATTTAGTGACTTATTTCTAGTGAATAAAATGAAGCAGAGATGATGTCACACTGCATCACCAGGACCAGGACATGTGTTCTGGTGCTGAAGGGGGCCAGATGCCACATGACGAACTGAAGCATAATATGTCCACAAGGCAAAGAAACCCCAGAGACTCCAACTGAACCCCTCCAACAGCCTTCACCTCCCGCTCCGATCTAAAGCGTACTGTGAATACAGCCCCAGGCGATGCTATGGTAGCAGCCTTCTCAAATCTAAGCTGTGCCTGAACCCACCAGAACACTGGGGTGACCAGATTGCTGTTTTCACTGCTAAATTTGGGGTAGATTGTTTGGCAGCCATAGATAACTAACGTGCCTACCTGGCTCCTCTTCCACAGCAGGAAGTCATGGTCCTTTAGTCTTGTCTGTCTAGCACAACGTTGATGCTCTCTTAGCCGTTCTGAGACACTAAAGTCTCATAGCATACTGCAAAATCCAAGAACAAGGCACCAGTAGATTCTGTATCTGGTAAGGACTCACTCTCTGCTTCATAGATGGAACATTTTATCGGTGTCTTAACATGGCAAAAGATACATAGCAGCTCCCTGGAGCCGCTTACAGATGAGCATCAATCACTTAGTGAGGGAGGCACCTCACCGACTCCATCAATTCCCTCCCAACACCATGGCCTCTAGGGAATTAGGATTTCGATGTCTGAGTCTGGGCGAGGGGGAGCAAAGGCATTCGGGTCACAATAGTACTCACCAATGATTCATTAAACTGGTGAATGAAAATAGAGAGCTCCGGCTTTCTGGACATTTACTTTTAGATAGCAAGTACTCTGTTGACACTATCAATAACCCTCAGGACAGCTCTTCATAGCTGCCATGAGTGATGCCCATTTTACAGAATGTAAACCTGATGAGGAGTAAGAACTCTGCTACTCGAGGCCTGCAGTTAACACAGGCAGAGCTGGGATTTGAGCTACCCTGTTCTGCCCTTTCTCTCCTAACTTGGCTGTCTCTTCACAGTTTAAGTACATCCGACACACCGATACCAGCTGGTCTTTACAGTGACCCTGGAGAAGAATTGAGATTATCGTCTCTGTCTTGACAGCTATAGGAATCCAAGCTCAGGGAGATAAAGACATTTGCTGGAGATGAAGAATCAGCAATTCTTCAATGAATTCAGGAGACATTTGCTGGGCAGCATCCAGACTCTGTGACTAAGAGGGTGTGGTCCCCTCAAGTTCTCTGGAACCTCATTCTCCCCGAGATACTCATCCATGTTAACTGCTGGCAGCCAGGCATGGGCAAGCTCAAGGAAGATGAGCAAGTGAGGATGGCACATGGAAACATGAAGTGGAAAAAGGCTACCGTTTCAGGCAGAGATTTGAGAAATTCCCTTCTATCCTCAAACCTCCTCTCCATCCTAACCACAACTATCCAATAGGTTTGATATGCATCATTTTTTGTGTGCTTTTGAAAACAGTATTTTTAACTGATATAAATAATGGCACATGGTATATCTCTTTCTTCTCTTTGAATCTGAGCACTATTTCAAAGATGTTACATGTTACATGTTACATGTTACATGTTACAGAAGTTCTAATCTCCTGCCTCCGACTCTTGCTACCACATCCTCCCTTTATGCTCCAGGATGGCACTCAGCTGTAGTCACCCTCTAATCAACACCAGCATGAGACTCTGATACACAAGCCAGGTCATGCCCCCCTTGTGTGAGGAGGAAAACTATGTCATAGGTACACTCCTACTCCCATAGTCCCCTCTGTCATAAGTACACTCCTTCTCTCATAGTCCCTTGTGCCTCTACCCAGCAGGATGCTCCCTGAAGCAGCGATCTGCCTGCAGATATTTACAGTCATCGACACCCAGTCCAACAGCTGTAAATTTATTTCCTTAACATATGTTTTTCTGGTTATTTGGGAAGCAGAGAACTCTTTATACACTTTGGAGGCTCCAGGGTTCTCTAGAGTTCACTAATCAGATTTGAAGCAGAGGAGGAAAGGTGCACCCTTTAACTGACCTGAATCATGGAAGACCTACCTGCAAGAACAGATGCTTGCCCTGTTTTACTTAGCAAGCAGAACATGACAGAAAGGACAACCAGCAGGTCCTGTGTGAGGCTTCATGGCTGGCAAGGCAGGGGTGTCCTAAATGAAGCAAGGGTCTAATTACGAAACAGGTTCTGCTGCAGATTTTATTGCCCTCACGCCTCTTGTAGCTAAGTGGTGTGACATCTCTAAAAGCAAGGTGACTTGCTTAAGGCCTCCCTAGCATACAGGACAGAGCTGGAGCCAGTTCTCAGGTCTGCTAGTTCAAGCCACCTTTGCTCTGAGAGTTCAGAGGAGGCTTTTGCAGGGAACAGCAAGCTGTCCCGGCTGTTGGAGGATGGAGCCCTTCTCCAGAGCAGACCAGGGAGAAAGCTAGACCTGTACCACAGCAAGGGATTCTAGGATCCAGAGTTCATGACTGATCAGGAACTCGGTAAACTTGCTCAAGGGGGACATGCAGGGACTTTTGGAAGAGGGACAGAGAGAACAGCCAGGCTACTATAGGTCAGCTCCTGGCCAATGCTCTCTTGCCCCTTTTATAAAGACCCAGCAGCCCCTCTTCCCCACGGCTCTCTGTGTCCCTAGATTTATTTTGTTTTCTTTCGCTAAATCAAACTTTATCAGACAGTTTTACTGTCAGCCGTTAAACCAAAATGTGTTTGTGCAACAGTAAACACCTTGTTACTTCAGGGAAGGATTACATAAACAACATCGGATGAGGCCGATTTGCTGAACCCGGGAGGCTGCTGCCCATGTGGAGATGGAAGAGGACACTTCGGGGCACTCCAGAGTCAGGAGGCAAGGGGATGGGGTTCACTCTGAGCTGGGTTCTGCTGTAGAATGGGAAGATGAGTACTCTTCTCCAATCAGAACAGTGAGGTCGGCTAGAGATCACAGCCCAGGTAAGGACCCTGTCTGAGCCTGGGGCCCGGGGTGGGGGGAGGGGGAGAATTGGTAGGGAGAATGGCCCAGGGAGCAGACTTTCCAGGCAGGGCAAGGCCAGACAGAGGCCAGGGACAGAGGCCAGGAGTGGGATGGAGAGAAATGGTGGTGGTGGCTCAGACACTAGCTCAGTTGACTCTCATACCCACACTTTAGAAACTTTCATCCTACACACCACGGGTTCTGTTTGCGGCAGTCATTTCCTTATTCCTACGCTACATCTACCGCTACCACTTATTATAGTTAGCATTTGCTCCGTGGCAGGTATTCTGGCTATATTGTTTTGTTAACCCTCATATCCAGTTTAAGAGTCAGATATTTTTATTATTCCATTTTATAGGTGGGAAACCAAGATTCAGAGAAGTAACCTGGTTCTGGCCACACAGCCACTCTGAGCCAGAATTGCTGCCCTGATGTCTCTAAGGCTGTGTTCTTCCTGGATTAAGAGGATCTGAAGAAGGACATGAGAGGAAGAGCAATGAGAATGGTGCCCCCCCACACACACACACGGGACTTGACTGGAATACAAAGCAAGTAAGCGTTCTTACTGAAGAAGAGAGACAGATGTCAGCTTCACTAGTGACCAAAAAAGATGGGGAGTTCCTGAGCTAGCATGGCCCCAAAGCTTCCTCAGATACGGGGACTTTCTCTCCAGAATACTGGAAGCCGCTGACAAGTCAGGCTGAGTCTATACTAAAATTCTAGTCTGTGGCTATAGCCCCTCTGTCTCAAAGCCCAGACTCCAAGTTTCCCAGAGCCCAGCCCCTGGCTTTCTAGGCTTCCTCAGACACATGTCTCCTCACCTCCACCTCAGTTATTCCATCAACTCCAC